GCATCAGTAGACAGACAAGTCTGATTCCTTACTGTGTTTCTTCATCCAATGGTCCAAGAGCTTCTCTTAATTTGATAGGTCAAACTGTACATTTCATTCATTGAACCTTATTTGAAAGTATGCTGCCACATATATTTAATCTGTTTCCCTCTCCAGCTGATTTTCCTTTCCATTCCAATGAAAGTATTTACATATTCGTATCCCATCCTTCTTACCCCCAGAGGGGGACCCAGGGCGGCTTACCAGCAGGCATTCATTCAATGCCAACAACAATAATAAAGGATAAAAGCAATTAAAGCAATTAGTTAATGCTCTAAAATTACCAAAACTGTTATGCAGATGTATCTGACAAGCAGCACATAGTTTGATTCCAAAAGATAGTTCCTTTGCTTTTGCAAAATCAAGTGATATTGATGTTACAGTAGCATCATTCTCAAGTAGTAGGTGTGTTTAGTTTCTGTTCATTTCACCATTCAAAGCCTTTGTTCCATTTTAATAGGGCTTTTGGAGTTGAAAAACCTGTTGCCATAAAAAGCCACAAAGTTTCTTATCTCATTCTGGGGGTCAACAAATAATACTGACAGAAGACTGTTTGTTTTTTATGTAGCAGGTATGCACTTGCCTCTTGCAGTATGGCAATAAATCATTTTTATTAACTACAACCAGCCCTCCACATTATCTAGGGTTAAGAGCACAGGGCTGCTATGAAATTGAAAAAAAAAAAGGAATATTTTTTAATCTCTCTAGGTTTTTTAGGTCCTTCAGCATGACTCGGTGATCAGCCTCTTCTGGAAGCTGACCCCAGAATCACATTGAATGGACCAGAGATTTCTAGGAAAAAAAATTATTCAAGTCCAGAAAAGTCAAACCCCCAGATATGAAGGGCCAGTTGTGTATCACAGACATGTAGTATATAAAAATTTCTATTTGCATTTTTAATTACAAATATCCGACAACACAGTGTTTGACTACAAAGCTAGTAGCACTCTTGTGGAGTTGTTGGGTCAACTTGGGTACACCCTCATTAAAGATTTCGGCAAAAATCCCATCAGGTCCACAGGCTTAGTTATTTTTTAGTTGGTTGATGCCTTCACAAACATCTTCCAAGGCAGGTAGTGCTGCAAGCTCATCCCTGGAGGCCAGCTATTGCCAACAGTACTGTGGGTTTTGAGGAGACAGAAAGAGAGGGTGAAAGGGAGAAATGTGCTGAGAGGAAGAGGTGTCTAAAGCAAATCCTTATTGGGACTGCCTTCCATCTGGAAATGTATGTCCTCACTGTGAAAGGCTGTGCAGAAGATAATCAGGCTCCGCAGCGAGTGATAGCCTATGTTGTTAATAAATAGTACTCTCATTACCAATGCTTCTTTGCTACTGCCCATTTTCTTTATGAAGACATTCATGGCATGGCTTGTATCAAAGTAACAAGAACCAATATGGCAGGGTGGCTTGGAGAGACCAGGATTCAAAACCTTACTATGGCAAGGAAACTCACTGGGTGACCTTGGGCAAATCAGCCTCAGAGGAAGTCAAGTCAAACTTCCTAGGAAGAAATCTGGCAAAGAAAACTCTTTGATAAGGTTGGCCAGAGTCAGCTTGAAGGCACACAACAACAGTAACATCAGGATTTTATTATTTAAAGATATTATTTGTGACCTAAATGATTTGTTAATATTTTATGACTTTATATGTTGGACAGTATTTTTTCTAGTTTTATCTGGGCAGCATCAAATATTGTGTTTGGAACAAGAAGCTATGGGTACTGGTTAGTAAAAATTCAGAATATTCATTAAAGAAGGGCAATGGGGATTAGAAAGTCTAGCTCTTGTCATGTTCACCCTGAGACTTGACATATATCATAAGCCACAGTGAGTAAGTAAGTGAGTGATGTAAGAAAAAGTAAGTGAGCAAGTGAGTGATGTAAGAAAAAAAAAGAACAAAAATGGTGCAGACAGATAGAGCTATGTATAAATAGATGGTGCTGCCAGTTTCAGATTTACACGTTGATAGAAGAGGTTGGACTTGCAGAAGACACTGCTGGAAATTAGAGGATGGTGTGTGCATATATGAGATTGGCTACAAATTTCCTGTAGACTTACAGCAACCTTACAAATTTTAAGAGGTTTTCTTAGGCAAGGAATATTGAAGGTATGTAGACCATTTCTTTGGATTCCTAACACACTGCTTTCATTCCATTGCATTAAAGGCATCCTACATTCATTGTGTGAATGTGCCTTCAGGTCACTTATTGACCTGTAGTAACCCCATGAAAATCACAGGGCTTTTAAAGGCAAGGAATAATCTTCTTGCCTAAAAATGTTCTTCAGCTGCGATAGAGCCCACAGCACTTGGTATTTGTAGAGATAGTCTCCCATCCAAGTATTAACTGGGACTGACCCTTCTTAGCCCCAGGGTTCAGAGTGAACAGGGTACTGGGTTGGTCCGTGCTGAGAAATTTCAGAGGCCATCCTAATACTGCAAATGTATTTAGTTGGTATCTGCAAGCGTGGATAACCTTAGAATGTCAGGGCAGGCCCCAAATTTGGGCTTGACCTATACTGACATATAATGCAGTTTGGAACTGTGTTTATATGGTTGGTGTAGACTTATAGTTCAAATTGCATTGTGGAGTTCTACACTGACCATATATTAATGCAGTTCAGTACCAATCATTTTGCATAATAGTAGGGTTCTACGCTGACCATATAATGCAGATCAGTGCCGTTCATGTTGCATTGTAGGGTTCTACACTGACCATACAATGCAGTTCAATAGTTCATATTGCATTGTATGAGTCCATATTATATCTCGTGTATTTTACTGCACTAGCATGTGCTTTTGTAAGCCACCCTGAGTCCCTTTGGGGAGATGGTGGTGGGATACAAATAAAGTTTTATTAGTATAGCTTCCAACAGCAGATGGGATCTGGTGCCTTTTGGGAATGTAGATCTCATCTGTCAATGGGAACCACGGCAGTTACGTATGTTCTTTAATTGTCGCATGAATTTCCTTTGCCTGTAACTTGATATACGTCATGTACCTAAGCTGTTTCTGCTCTGTACGTTGGTCTTGTCTCTCTCTGTTGGAGATGAATAATTTTGATCTGCAGTGCTGGCTGAATCTCAGTGGCTGTTTGTTCTTTCCAGCTGTGTGGTTTCAAGTACAGCGTGTTTAGCTTTCTCTTAAAATCTAGCTTGTAGCTTTGTGGATTTTAGTAGTATCATTTAAGCACTGCTGCTGTACCTGCTGTTTTTGCCAGCCAGTGTGTGTATACATTTTGTTTCTGCTCCCAAAGAAGAGAGCAAATAAAGGATAAGCCCAGTGTTCCATGCAGCCATGCCATATACTAGACAAACAGGATTCCTCTTGTTCCTTTCAGTATTATCTGCCTCTTCTGAGGTGACGCTGTTTTAAATCAAACAAATGGATGTGTCCATCTTGCGGTGATATCATAAGCATACGCACACACCCTTTTCTGTGTGGAGGACAACTCCCACTCCCTTGAGAACTCTCATTGGCTTAGCAGAGAGGCCGTGCCCCATAAATACCCCTTTTCTTTTCGCTTTGCAAAACCAGTGCCAGGAAAAAGGTAAGCGGAGAAGCTCTGTTGCATCACCTTACTGCCTGGAGGAGGGAAGGGTCATTCACCTGTAAAAACTCATTCTACAGAAATGAGACAGTCAGAATATGGCTGTCCTGAGGATTTTACCAACTGATATTATTTGATGCTCTTCTTATAGCTAACCATATGCTAATTGCAAATCCAATCAGAAGTGCATCGAAGGGTTTTTTTGTTTATTTTATAGGGTTGGTATCTCCCTTATTTGCTAGGAAAAGTATGTTACTGTTATCAAATGCCTGAAACTGCAATTTGATTCCTTAAGCCTGTCATTAGATTTATATCCAACAGGTGTAGTTATAACCTTGCTAATTCTGTCTGTCTCCAAGGTCTTTTCTTAATGGGCAGTAGGCCCATGAACATGTAAATAATAAAGGAAGGAAGTGTGTCAAAATCTTATCCAGAACTATAGAAATGTATGGCAGAAATATAACGGGCTTTCCTAGGAAAACCAGTTACATATTGTTATAACAAATGTCATTTTTATTCTGGTTTTTTTTAGAGCTCTCTTGCTACAAAATAAAATAATTTCACTAAACTTTATATAAAGTCTGACAACTGAAACTCTAAAGCTGGGCATGTATAACTTCTGAAAGATTTACCTTTTTCACAGCATTGAGGCTTGTGTTGGAGAATTCCTGCACTCAGTCTGGAGTCTTTAGTTGTTTGGCTGTTCTTAAAGGCCCTTCCCATATTTGCATAATTTGAGGAAACAAGTGGCAGGTTTGTAGAAATGACTATCGTAAATCCCTGCAATACTGAATATTAACCCTATCTAAAGAGCTAATTGGATTACAATATTGGGACAGAAAAAAATGTTGAAAAATCCAGCGTCAATTCTTTCTGGTCAGGGGACTTTATTGCAAAGATGTAGGGAACTGGTACTGTAGTAAGACCATTGGTCCCTGTACCACACAACCTCTTGTAATGCATGTTGTGGGTCCATTAGTGCCTCTGATCACACCGCAGTCCTGCCACATTCCCCTCAGTCTAATTTTTTAAAAAAAAAAAAAATCCAGGCACTTAGTGAAATAATAAAATAAAATAAAAAGGGAAGCAAGCACAGTGGAAGGGCAGCGATGCACCACCCATCTGGAAGTACAGCTTTGCACAATCACAGTATTGTGAAGCTGCCCATCACCATGACAGTAAGTTGCTGCTCTCCTGCCTTGTATGAACAGCAAGCATGTGGTAATATCCTGAGACATGCTGCAGACTGGCAATGACATGCCCAACTTCACGGGATAAGTGGCCTATCAGCTTCAGCATTTCTTACACCAAATGGCAAACAGTTAAATGGTATTTCAGGAATAATATTTGCTTGACCATTCTCCTATTGGTGGGGTATCTTGTCATTCATCAGAACATTTTCCATTTCTTTCAGCTTTCTAGAAAAATGCCAGCTATCAAGAGTTTGAGCCGGGCTGTCAGGCAGGTGTTGCAGAAACCTGGTTGTGGTTGTCAGGTTGCTGTTGTGCCGGTTAGGTGTGTTGGTTTCTCACCCCGGCAGGTAAACTCGGACGCCAGCTTCCATTCAGTATCCTTTTCTGAAACAGAACATCCACGGGTGCTGATTACAGGTCAGTCTGCTTTGTGCCTACAACATTTTTGATTTGTTTTGTGTGGAGCATTTAAATTTATTGACATTTATTGCATCAAGTCGTGTATGTTACGTAGTACTGAATCAGGGATGCACTGCAACTCTGTGGATTGAAGATCGGTTTCAGTGGCACCACTCCAATGGTAGTTCAGGATGAGAGTGAGCAAATGGTAGGCTTTTGGACCTGGCCAGAGCCAGGTGCAAAATAATAGCTTAGGCAGGTTGGCATAATCTGAGAATTAAGTGCATCTGATCTCCTACTCAATCCAAGATACCATTATTTTGTTTCTGATACTAATTTGAACAATTATTCAGGTCCCTTCCACACAGCTGGATAAAATCCCACATTATCCGCTTTGAACTAGGATATATGACAGTAGAGGGCATCAGTAGAGGTACCAAGGTGCTTGTTTATAAAGCTATTGTCCTCCCAACCCTGCTATATGCCTGCAAAATGTGGACTGTCTGCAGACATCGCACTCAACTCCTGGAACGTTTTCATTAGCATTGCCTCTGAAGAATCCTGCAAATCTCTTGGGAAGACAGGCAGACAAATGTCAGTGTCCTTGAAGAAGCAAAGACCACCAGCATTGTAGCCATGCTCCTACGCCATCAACTCCGCTGGACTGGCCATATTGTCCAAATGCCCGATCACTGTCTCCCAAAACAGTTACTCTACTCCGAACACAAGAACGGGAAATGTAATGTTGGTATACAGGAAAAGAGATTTAAAGATGGGTTTAAAGCCAACCTTAAAAACTCTGGCATAGACACTGAGAACTGGGAAGCCCTGGCCCTTGAGCGCTCCAGCTGGAGGTTAGCTGTGACCAGCAGTGCTGCAGAATTCGAAGCACGAATGGAGGGCGAAAGGGAGAAACATGCCAAGAGGAAGGCGGCGCAAGGCAACCCTAACCAGGACCACCTTCCACTTGCATATCAATGTACTCACTGCGGGATAACATGTGGATCAAGAATAGGGCTCCACAGCCACCTACGGACCCACCGCCAAAACGCTTAGAGGACCATGAGCCTCAAGCTACGAGGGATCACCTAAGTAAGTAAAGTAAAATATGGCAGTGTGGACTCAGATATTCCAGTTCAAAACTGATATTGTGGGTTAGTCTGCCTTGATGTTCTGGGTTGTATGGCTGTGTGGAAGGGCCCTCAGAAAAGTATAGTCTGTCCCCATCAAATACAATTTTTCCATTTTATTTATTTATTTCTCACCTCTCTTGAGGGACTCAGACCGGTTTCCAACCATAATATCACAAACAATCAATAAAACACCATAATTCATATTACAGTAAAACATTAAAACAGCAATTACAATCAATAACTACAATCAGTTATTTTATAGATGGCTGGATAGCAGTTGTCAACTCTTGCAGGTCTGCTATAAATCACTCAGATTTTTTGGTAGACACAATCTACCTAGTCTGCATAACATTGCAGTTTTATAAACAAAGAAATTAGCCTCTATCTTGACTGCTATGCATAATGGAATGCCCTCTGTCATTCCCTCAACCCAGTCTCTCAGAAGATAGGGATATTTGTCTGTTGTAAGGTCATGATTTATGTCTAAATACCCTGAAGCCATTTCTGATTTCAGAAGCTAAACCAAGCCAGATTTGGTCAGTACTTGGGTGGGGGAACTTCCAAAGAATAACAGACGCTGCAGGCAATATTTCAGAGGAAGGAACTGGCAAAACCACCCGTTTTACTCCTTACCTTAGAAAACCCCTATGAAATTCATATAGGAGTTGACAGGTTACTTGAAGATAGTGATTTTGCATCTAGATAGGGGAGTTCATGCTCTGCTTTTAAATTATCAGCTCATTTTTGTTACTGAGTTCAAACAGAATAACAGTAATTTCCACTTAAAATCTATTATCATATTCTTGCCCCTATTCCTGCTCATTTCTACCCTTATTGAGTCAAAGGAACATTATACCCCAGATGAGCATTTGGTGTGTTAAGTTATAGGAGGTGGGTGCAAAACGACAATTAGGAAAGCAGCAGACCCAGAGCTCATGAAGAATTTGCTCATAAGTAGATTGAAAGCCTTTGTCCATAGAAGATGCAGTCCCCACTATAGCTATAATTCAGAAGGGTGTTCACAATACCTTTCTGGGTGCATGGCACTTGGCTGCTTAGATAGAGAATTCACCTCTTTAAGGAGGCCCTTTCCCAGGTGATGGGATCAGAATCGGGTGGAATTCAAGGCGTGGTGAATCAAATGTTTGCATCCTTTGGTGAGCTGGCTCCTATCTCTACTGGATGCTGCAATAAGTATTGCAGCTGTGGAGGGAGTGTATCAGTTCTCCAGAGTGGTACATTGGCAGCAGAGAACTGTGTCACGGCTTCTGCAGAGAAATAGGCTCTGTGCTTCTTCAGAGCTCCCTCACTTCTTGTCCTTAGTTCTGAGGGGCACAGTTTCCATCTTGCTGGCAGCGTTTCTTCAGGGAAGCTCCTCAAAAGAGGTAGCAGAGGGGATAGAAGAACAGGGTGGGTAGGAGTGTAGTAGGATATTGTCCAACTTCTTTGCTTGAGTGTATTTTTGTGTAGCCAGGGTTACATGGTACTATTGTTGTTATGTGCCTTCAAGTTGTTTCCAACTTTAATGAAATGAACCAATTGCAGATTTTCTTCATCAGGGGTTTGTTTTCCCCTGAGGCCCCTTCCATACAGCTGTCTTGGCATGCTGGCTTATATGGCTGTGTGGAAGGGCCCTGAGACTGATAGGGTGATTTCCCAATTGTTTCCTGTGGCTGAATGGGGATTTGAACCATGGTCTCAAAAATTCCTAGCCCAGAGGCTGAAACCTCTGTGTCACAAATAGACGGTGAGGCAACAGCTCCCCTGGTGGCCAGAATACCCTCATGAAAAAACTGGAATGTTGAATGTTCTCTGTGTGTCTGTCTATATATGTTGCGTCTGTGGCATTGAATGATTGCTATGTATATGTACATTGTAATCCACCCTGAGGCCCCTGTGGGGTGAGAAGGGCAGAATATAAATACTGTAAATAAATAAACCACTGCACCATGCTTTCTCTTTATGTGATGTTGAGCTGTTCTTTATTGGAATACTTACAAAATACAGAATGGGATATAAAACAACTCCCATATTTCAAGGGGGCATTGTGTTGGCAGAGAGGTGGGGTAGTTCTAATTCATTAGATTAGGCTCTGCTGTTTTCAGTACCCATCAAGGAGCCCCGGTGGCACAAGGGGATAAACCCTTGTGCCAGGAGGACTGAAGACCGACAGTCGCAGGTTCAAATCCGGGGAGAGAGTGGATGAGCTCCCTTTGTCATCTCCAGCTCCCCATTTGGGGACATGAGAGAAATCTCCCACAAGGGTGGTAAAACATCCAAAAATCTGGGTGCCCCCTAGGCAACGTCCTTGCAGACAGCCAATTCTCTCACACCAGAAGCGACTTGCAGTTTCTCAAGTTGTTCCTGACACACAAAAAAAGTACCCGTCATGAGTTAGATCAGTGAACACTGGGCTTTGTTGTTGAGTATTATGAGAACAACCATTCTGTGATAACAAAGCAGGAAGCCTTCTGCCTGAGGTGATCCAGAAAATAATGTATTGGATCCCTCTTCTGTGCTGTCATAGTTGTGTCTGTGATGCAGAAGTGAAGCACTGTAGCTTCTCAATAAGTTTAATGCAGTTTTTGAAGGTTGAATTGTGACTCTGGGGACCAAGGTTTGAAACCCCACTTGACCTTGGAAACCCAGTGGCTGACAAGGTAAACCACACATTCTTAGTTCCAGAAAACCCTTTGATAGGGTCTCAATAATTTGAAAGGCACACAACAACAAAACCTTTAATTGAGGTATTCATTTAAATAAATAGGATAATATGTGTGCTGCTCCCTCAGTGTATAACAGTTAAAACATTCCTAACAGTCTAGCCAACCAAATAAGCCTTTCGATGAAAGCCAATGTGTTCCCTGCTCCTAGATTCTGAGATGGAGTTCAGTACATAACTTTTCTTTCTTTTAGAGCAGAAATCTTTTCAAATTGTTCATGTTTTATAGCATATTGAGTTCTCTAACAAATGCATTTTGTTTTCAGGGGGACTAGGCCAGCTTGGAGTAGGACTTGCTAAGCTCTTGAGGTAAGCTGTGCTTGTTGCTTTTTACTAGTAATACATGCTTGTGGATTTCTGAGTCTGAAGTTTCCCAAGAATGATCAAGTTCATTTGCAGCAAAAGTGTGACTATGATTTTCCCACCAAGAAAAAAATAGATTTTGTACACACATTAGGAAAATGCTGGGAAGACTTTGTTCCTATTTATATGTTGCATCTATGTGCTGGAGCCCTCGGTGGCGCAGTGGGTTAAACCCCTGCACCGCCAGGACTGAAGACTGACAGGTCACAGGTTCAAATCTGGGGAGGGCGCAGATGAGCTCCCTCTATCAGCTCCAGCTCCTCATGCGGGGACATGAGAGAAGCCTCCCACAAGGATGATAAAACATCAAAACATCTGTGCATCCCCTGGGCAACGTTCTTGCAGACGGCCAATTCTCTCACACCAGAAGCGACTTGCAGTTTCTCAAGTCACTCCTGACATGACAAAAAAAACTATGTGCTCCTTTTCTCCTGCTGTGGGACTAAAGGCAGATCACAAACATTGATGGCGTTGATGTGGAAGATACCAGATATTCTTGAGTATAAGCCAACTTGAATATAAGCCGAGGCATCTAATTTTACCACAAAAATCTGGGGAAACGTATTGACTCAAGTATAAGATGAGGGTGGGAAATGCACCCAATAAATACCAATAAAATTACATTAATTAGACATCAGTAGGTTAAATGTTTTTGAATAATTACATAAAACTGTAATTTAAGATAAAACTAAACTGTAAAATAAGGCATTTCTATTTCCAAAGTTTAAATCCAATGTATATATTGTCGAAGGCTTTCATGGCCGGAATCACCGGGTTGCTGTAAGCTTTTTGGGCTGTATGGCCATGTTCCAGAAGCATGCAACCCAGAATGTATATCCTCGAGTATAAGTCAATCCGAATATAAGTCAGCCAGGACCTTCATTCGAGTATAAGCCAAGGGGGGCTTTTTCAGCCCTTAAAAAGGACTAGAAAATTTGGCTTATACTCCAGTATATTCAGTAATTTCATGGTACAGAAACATATGGCTGCACTGCATCTCACAGCAGATTAGTTTTTCCTTTCGACAAAACCAAGTTTAAAAGGAACGTGAAAGACCTGCTTTCAGGCTTAACTGTGCCCTCTCTCCTAGGAAACGCTTTGGAAAGAACAATGTGATCCTGTCTGATATCAGAAAGCCCCCTGATAATGTCTTCTATAGTGGTAAGTGCCCTGTAACAAAACAATGCAGTGCTTACTGTGGCAGTGATCTTTTGCTAGAATCTGGGTTCCTTAATTAAACTTGAAGTTTCCTTGTATATTATTTTTTGCAATATTCTTGAATATTTGCTTCTGACTCATGAGCTTCGTTTTAAAAGCGGCTTCCTTCATTTGTGTACAGCAGTGGTTTCCAACCTTTTTTTGACCATTGGTGTAAAGAGACAGATTAACATCCAAAGTAGGACCGTCACAAATATATATATATATTTATTTATTTACAGTTCATATATATATATATATATATATATATATATATATATATATATATTCAGTCCTTGGCTTTTTTTTCCCTTCAATGAGAGGAATTTAAGGGAAGACATTTTTCTCTGTAGCCAATCCTAGGAAGCAAATAAATGTCAGCACCATCTTTTTGTATTGGTCCTTCTGATCCTGAATTTGATTCGAGTGCTCCCTCCACCACCCTATGATTTATTAATCTGTCTTTGTCATGTGATGGCTCAGGTTAATGCCGCTATTAAAACTTCAGATATTTAGTTTCCTTAAAAGTATAGCATAACTGTTTTAAACAGATCTTTATTTAAACAGATCTTTATCCCCTACCATGCGATGCTGCAGCCCAGCATGTGTGTTTGTGTGTGTATATGTGTATATATGTGTGTTTGCATGTGTTTGGTTTTTTGTTTTTGTTTTTGTTTTTGCTTTTTAAGTCTCTTCTGTGTTTTTCAATATTTTTATGAGTGATGGTCACTCCTTGGCCTGATAGATGTATTGTGTCCAAATTTGGTGTCAATTCGTCCAATGGTTTTTGAGTTATGTTAATCCCTCAAATTAACATTACATATTTATATAGATTTTTCAAAAATCAAACCACTCATGCTTTTCCTGCACAAATATATTTTCTATCCTGCACAAATATTTTTTCTATTCAATTAAAACAAACACTGACTAGAGCGGGAACCAATGTTTATTTGATGTTGGAACAGGAAAAGTTGATTTGGTATTTTATTCTGCATGAGCTTATAATGAATTTGAATGAAGGATGCTTTCCCACTCTGTTGACTTTCATGACTTGTCACCTTCCTCAGACTCTTGTTTGATTTGCACTTTCTCCCTTGTAGGCCCTTTCATCTACTCAGACATTCTGGACTACAAGAATCTTCGTGAGATAGTAGTGAACAACCGGATTACATGGCTGTTTCACTATAGTGCGCTGCTCAGCGCAGTTGGTGAAGCCAATGTTCCTTTGGCAAGATCTGTAAATATCACTGGTAGGTGTCAGCTTAACTTTCCACTGTTTGATTAGCTGTCCTCGCCTGACTGCCAGAGCTCAGTGTTTTGGTTTTGAACCTGATAACTCTGTTTGCTGTTCCTAGGATTGCATAACATTCTTGATATTGCTGCTGAGCACAGCTTGCGGCTCTTTGTCCCCAGCACAATTGGAGCTTTTGGACCCACCTCTCCTCGGGACCCAACTCCTGACCTCTGCATCCAAAGGCCAAGGACAATCTATGGTGTTTCCAAGGTCCATGCTGAGCTCATGGGAGAAGTAAGCATTGCCCATTCAACCTGCAGTTGGCTTGTTGTTTCAGATGGGTGGAGCAGTTGTCTAGCTGGAAGAATTTTTAACACTGTCAGATTATAATGGAGGGCTGTAGAGATGCAAATGTCTGCTGTCAGGTTGCAGAAGAAAGCCTACAGTTAACAATGCAGTACAGAATGGGATTCTGACCCTGCTGTAGGGGTGTGTGTCTGTCTGCATTAGGCACGGTTAGCAGCAGCTGCTTCTAGAATCTAACTGAGTATGCACGAAAAGCAAAACAAAACAAGGGGAAGAGCAGAGAAGTCTAATCCATAATCTACCGCATCACATTAAGAAAAACTTAGTTTGGCCACTGAAATTTAAATCATAAGAAAAGTGGTCAATAATGAAAAGTATCAGAGGTCATCCATGGATACATTTGTCATAACGTGGTGCCTTTATACACTTTTAGTGAGAACTCTGACCAGAGACCAGTTATTGCTACAATGTTTGTGCCTTGGGAAGTCAGACTTGGCGACAGTGCTCCATGCTCTTGTTGCATCGAGAATAGATTACTGCAATGCACTCTTCGTGGGGTTGCCTTTGAAGACTGTTTAGAAGCTTCAAATGGTCCAATGAGCGGCAGCCAGATTGCTAACCAGGGTGGCATACAGGGCGCACACAACTCCCCTGTTAGGTCAACTTGACTGGCTACCAGTTTGCTACTGAGCACAATTAAATGGTTCCAGCCCAGCTTACCTGTCCGAACGTATCTCCTTCTATGAACCATCTCAGAGCTTAATATCTGGGGAGGTCCTGCTCTTGGTCCCACTTCCATCACAAGTGTGGTTGGTAGCACTTTTTAATCTGTACCCATCACATTTGGCCCAGCCTAGTTTTATTGTGTTACAGTGTACTGTTTTTATTGCTTACTGTTATTGCTTAATGTTTTGATTTGCTTTTGGTTTATGTGTATTTGTTATATTGTTGTTTTATTGAGGCCTTGGCCTTTGTAAGCCACATCGGGTCCTTCGGGAGAAGTTAGCGGGTACAAATAAAGTTAATAATAATAATAATAATAATAATAATAATAATAGTAATAATAATAATAATAGGGGCAAGGGACAGGGCTTTCTCAGTGGTGGCCCCTCAGCTATGGAACTCTCTCCCCAGTGAGATTAGATTAGCACCCTCCTGCCTGGGCTTTAGAAAGACAACAAAGACATGGCTGTGGGACCAGGCTTTTGGCCAGTAATGCAGTGCAAAGAATAATTAGGAAATATGTGCTATGACAACCGGAATGGCCATGGTGGATAATTTTTGGATCATGTTATTTTAATATTTATTTTAGGATGTTTTTAATGCTTTGTCTTAGTGTTTATATGTTGTATATGCCTATGTTTAATGGTTTTAATGATTTTAATTCATAGTTATGTGTCAGTGTTTAGTTATTGTGGTTTTATCTTATTTATATTTATGTTGGCATTGAATTCTTGCCATTAATATGTTGTAAACCGCCTTGAGTCCCCCCCGGGATGAGAAAGGCGGTATATAAATATACTAAATAAATAAATAATAAATAAATGTGTGAATTCATTGACTCTTTAATGTGAGCCACTGAAGGACAAGAGACTGTAGTAGATGACCAATGTGGCTACTCTGCTATTGCTAATGTCTGAGTGATATCATTTTTCCGTTTTTCCCCTCCTTCTAGTATTACCATTACAGATACGGCCTAGATTTCCGGTGCTTGAGGTACCCAGGCATTATTTCAGCCGATACTCAGCCTGGTGGGGGAACAACTGGTAAGGAAGCAAAGACAAAACCCTTTTTTACCTTTTTTGTGGCATGAATTTAAGTTGAGCTATAAAATTAACTAGTAAGATCATAATTACTCATTTACTATCTAAGACATTGAGGTTCTGAAGGCTTTCTACCAACTAGCAGAGCAATAGTGTCTGTGATGAAGGAAAAACCACTGTAGTGTCTACCTCTTGAACGGTTTCCCCTTTCTTCCTTATTCTCCGACCCAACAATTGATTTGTCTGTGGACATGGGAAAGATCTGTTTATAGTAAGGAGAGATGGCATAACCAACAGCCCCAGCATAACTATTCTCGTTACCTCTCTCTTTCTATTCCTGGAGAAACCAATAGTTTTCAACAATAGATAACTTTTTTATAATCGGAATGGGAAAAAAACTCCAAGAACAAATTGATCAGCTCCTCTGCCTTACAAGAATTTATAACTAAAGCATCACTGAAAAATGGCCACCTAGCTTCTGAAGACATCCACAGGAGAAGAGGTGGAACAGATCTACCTCTTTTTTGGATATCTTCAGAGGCTTCATGGAGAACAATTGATCTATGTGTTTGAGTTTTCATGTTTTGACCACTTCAGAATCAGGCAAAAGTTTCTGAGGCTAGCTGCTAGTTAAGATAAACCGACCTATTTAAATCTTCTTAGATACCATTTCCGATATGCCTCTGTTTGACAATTCCCACGAAGTGGCAGGTAAGGGATGTTTAACTATTGCTCTTGGTGTTTTGAAAGTTATCTTGAATTCTCTTGGGTGATTCGGCAGAGTGATAGGATAAAATTTAAATCTCTGAAGAGTTACAATAAACATTTATGATTATTATTTTCTTTAGGCCTATAATAATGCAAGTAGCACAGAGCTCTGATTGTGGTTAAGAGCATATTCCATATCAGAGCCCAGTGTAAGAGCCAGGTAATTTGGCTCTTATCTCTATCTTTAAGATGACAATCTCAATTGCTACTTCTTGTAAAGAAGCCTTGAAACAAATTGGTTTTTTTAGTCTTCCAACATGTTAAACTAAATTTCTATGCACTCTCTCCCAAGATACATACTGGTCGCCTACTTTTCTATGCAAAGAAAGACCCTCCACCATTAAGGTTAGGTGGTCAGGATCCCTTGGAAAGATGGAAAAATGTATAAAACAGGCCCTGTTTTTAAATTATTGAAAGAACGCCTCTTGAGAAATTTCTAGTTCCTCTACAACAATTCTACTGACTTTGATTTTTGTGTGTGTGTATCAGGAGCAACTTGAGAAACTGAAATTTGCTTCTGGTTGAGACAATTGGCTGTCTGCAAGGATGTTGCCCAGGGGACACCCAGATGTTTTACCATCTGTCTGAGGCTTCTCTCATGTCCCCACGTGAGAAGCTGGAGCTGACAGATGGGTGCTCATCCTGCTTTCCGGATTTGAACCACCAACCTTTTGGTCATCAGTCCTGTTGGCACAAGGGTTTAACCCACTGTGCCACCGGGGGCTCCTTACCAACTTTGGTGGAAGTTGATAGAGTAATGCTGGACAGACTACAAATGCCCAAAGAACTGTTTTCTCTAAGAATCTCTAATTTTTTTAGGGCTACTTTGTCGTCAGTTTTTGATGAAATACATTAATTCACAAATGTTACAAACTCAAATGAGCAAAAAGGGAAGGGCTGACAATATAAATCATTCATCCACTGCTATAGGAATGCTGCTGAAACATATTGTTGTGGTGGGCAGTTATTTTAAACTTTCTGTTCTTCCAGACTATGCAGTCCAGATCTTTCACGATGCCATAAAGACTGGCAAGTTCAAGTGCAACCTTAAACCAGACACCCGTCTGCCCATGATGTACATTGATGACTGCCTGAGGGCTACACTGGAGATCATGGAAGCCCCCGCTGAGCAGCTGAGCATGAGAACTTACAACATCAGTGCCATGAGTTTTACTCCTGAGGAGTTGACTCAAGAAGTCCAGAAGCATATTCCAGAGCTTCAAGTTACCTATAATGTGGATGCAGTAAGACAGGCCATTGGTTAGTATCTGGTTTCAGTCTTTGACTCTGTGATTTGAGGCGGTAGTTACAGATTAAAATAGACTGGCTAAACAAATATCTATATCTATAAATTTCCTACTGGCGTCCAACGGGGAAGCAAAACTCTAAAACCCCTCCACAAAACTCCACCAAAATTGCCATGCCCCAAGGACAACCCACTAGGTACAAACTAATCCAGTCAGAAATCAAAACAACACAACCACACACAGAAAAAACGGCAAAACAACTGAGCATGCGCACTGGCGCAAAGTCCCCAGCGCGCGCGCACACATGGCCGAACGGCCAACGCACTTCCCTCCCTCCCTCGCCCCGCCCAGCGCGAACACGTCACCGCACTTCCCCACACACGGCACACACACACACACAAAGAACGCCACTTCCCCCCGCCCCCTTCCCTCCACCCCCTCCTTCATCTTACTCCTCCCACGCTGCCTCCAAGCCCCGCTCCGCACACTCCAAGCCTCGCCGCGCCGCATCCCCACTGGAAAGACACGCCCCCTCCCTTCGCCCCCCCCTTCCCTCCCTGATTGACTCCTGGAAGGAAAGGGGGGGCGAAGGGAGGGGGCGTGTCTAACCGGAGAGGGAGGGAGGAGGGAAGGAGTGAGTCACGGAGGAAAGGGGTGGGGCGAAGGGAGGGGGCGTGTCTTCAAAGTCGCCCCCTCCCTTCTCCCCACCCCTTCCCTCCCTGAGTCACTCCTTCCCTCCTCCCACCCCCTCCGGAAAGACACGCCCCCTCCCTTCGCCCCACCCCTTCCCTCCCTGATTGACTCAGGGAGGGAAAGGGGTGGGGGCCGAAAGGAGGGGGCGTCTCTTTCCGGAGGGGGTGGGAGGAAGGAAGGAGTGACTCAGGGAGGGAAGGGGTGGGGAGAAGGGAGGGGGTGACTTTGAAGACACAATGATGGATCCGGACCAAAGCATTCAATACGCCCAAATATCCACACAGATGGAGTTTGAGGGAAATAGACCTTGACATTTGGGAGTTGTAGTCACTGGGATTCAGAGTTCACCAACACTCAAAGAGCATCCTGAACCCCACCAACGACAGAATTGGGGCAAACATGCCACACTGAACCCCCATGACCAACAGAAGATACTCAAGTTTACACACAAGCATAAAGAAGGGGGAGGAAGGAGGGATGCCAGAGAGAGAGAGAGAAAGAGGGGAAAGGAAGGAGTGTGAGAGAGAGAAAGAGGGAAAGAGGGCGAGTGAAGGAAGGAAGAGAGGCCAGGCAGAGACTTCAAAACTCTTACTAAAGGCCACAGCAACGCGTGGCAGGGCACAGCTAGTGTGTTTTTATGTATATATATATATATATATATATATATATATATATATATATATATATATATATATATATATATATATAAATGAGATAAACAGATCCCTCCTGGGCCTTATGTCTGCACCTTAAATGTGAAAACATGAAAAGAGAATAGCCCAGAAGCAGGACTTCGAGATGGATGAAACAATTTCTTCAAAGTCTTGGAATGTAGACATTGGACTTGTTTACACTGAAAGGCTGCTAAGGAACAAGCATCATAATTTTAAAAAATGTCCAGTACTACTTTCTGAGGTGTATGCTTTGCAATATTTAGACATCTCTTTAGTTTTTTTGTGAACACCACAATCCCTGGTCAAAGCAGAGAACAGATGGTTTGCTCATGAGTAAGAGCAAGCTTTGCCTAGATCAGCTTTTGTTTCATCTGCTGCAACTAATGGCCATCATCTCCTCCTTACCAAGCAAGAGGAGAGATATATTGTTATCCTCAACCCAAATTTGAATCAGCAGCATTTTTTATTTCTTCTTCTCCTCCACTGCTTTCCTTTCAGCTTAAGTAAATAGTTTCCCTGGAAATAAGCAGTTTACTCATGAGTAAGAAAGTGGAGGATCACTTCCATTTCAGTGCAGTTTATTTTCATGTCAGGAGTGACTTGAGAAATTGCAAGTCACATCTGGTGTGAAACAATTGGCTGTCTGCAAGGACGTTGCCCAGGGGACATCCGGATGTTTTACCATCCTGTGGCAGGCTTCTCATGCCCCCGCATGAGAAGCTGAAGCTGACAGATGGAAGCTCACCCTGCTCCCCGGATTTGAACCTCTGACCTTTTTGTCAGCAGTTCTGCCGGCACAAGGGTTTAACCCATTGTGCCACTGGAGGCTCCTATGGCAGTTTATTATAGATACCCTTACTACCCTATATACTTACTTATGTACTAGAAATCTAGAAATTTAATCAAGAATAAACCCCAAATGTGAATACTTTAATTTTGACTACAACAAGGAACCACCTGTTTCTCTGAGTATAGCGGCAAAAAACACAAGCTTAGTTTTTTCCAGAAGAACCTAAAAGAAGCACCAGTTATTTCTACTATCTCTGCCATTGCACCACTTCTGGCATTTTTGAATATATGGGTGGGGAAATTGCAACAGCAGACAGGAGCAGCTGACCCCCTAAGGCAGCATTGGCGTTGTCTCCTCTCCATGGAATAACCTTCAATTTATCCATGGGTCATATGCAAATTTTTAATTTTGGCCCCAAAACTTACCCTCAACTTATATAAGAACATATATGTTACGTGTGGTGTTAATGGGGTGAATCTGGGGCAGCTTCAGAGTGAAATCTGAATTATAATTTAATTATTTTGGCGTAGGCAAGCCCATTGACAAGTAAGTGTAGAGTTAAGAGATATTGACAAGCTGGAATGTGTCCAGAGGAGGGCAACTAAAATGATCAAGGGTCTGGAGAACAAGCCCTATGAGGAGCGGCTTAAGGAGCTGGGCATGTTTAGACTGAAGAAGAGAAGGCTGAGAGGAGATATGATAGCCATGTATAAATATGTGAGAGGAAGCCACAGGGAGGAGGGAGAAAGCTTGTTTTCTGCTGCCCTGGAGACTAGGACACGGAAAAATGGCTTCAAACTACCAGGAAGGAGATTCCATCTGAACATGAGGAAGAACTTCTTGACTGTGAGAGCTGTTCAGCAGTGGAACTCTCTGCCCCGGAGTGTGGTGGAGGCTCCTTCTTTGGAAGCTTTTAAACAGGGGCCGGATGGCCATCTGTCAGGGGTGCTTTGAATGCAATATTCCTGCTCTTGGCAGGGGGTTGGACTGGATGGCCCATGAGGTCTCTTCCAACTCTTTGATTCTATGATTCTAAGAGAAAACTAGTATGCAATCAAGACTTGGCATTTTATATGGTTTTAATCTGTCTGATTCTTTATGTATTTTAATTGCTCATATGTTTTAACTGTTTTTATATTTTGATGGGGTGTGTTTTATTATGTCCCTGTGTCTTTGAATTTTGCCAGAGTTTGTAAGCCTCCTTGAGTCCCTAGCAGGGTGAGAAAAGTGGGGTAAAATTAAGTAAGTAGATAAATAAAATAGGCCTAGGATATCTGTTCTGCTCATTGCCTGCTGACATTCTCTTAATAAGAAGGCAAGAGTTAATGGCCAATTTTCTCTCTCTCCCTATCTCCTCATTTTCTGCTGGAATTTGCTGGGTAATGGGTTCTGCTATTGGCCTACTTCCTCAGAAGAGATAATGAACAGGTCACAACAGCACTAAAAAGTGCTCTTGAAAGCTAGGAGTGTTTGGTGGAACCTTCTGCACCCAGCACCTTCCATGGTGTCCATGACACGTCCACTTACAACATAATCTGTTCTTTTTCCACTTCAATAGCTGACAGTTGGCCGATGATTTTTGATGACAGCAACGCTCGCCAGGATTGGGGATGGAAGCATGACTATGACCTGCCGGAACTGGTGAACACCATGTTCAATTTCCTTGGCTCTGTGAACTCTGTTCCTAGACTTGCCCAGCTCAACTGACCGCTCCCTTCGAGTGATTCGATGACAGGACTTGGGCATAATAATGGAGAATCCCTCGTCAGCTCCTGAAACCTGAAGTAGTACACCTTTGGGATGCAATCTACAAGTATTTTGGGGCAGCTTATTGGACCTTCAGTTCACTTTTCTTCCTTTCTGTCAAATTAGGTGAATGCAATCACACATGTACAAATGTCAGTGCTGACAAAGTCTTTAATATGAGTCTTTTGGGAAAAGCTATTCTTTCACAAGCTGCAACTTGTTTTCTTCAAAGGCCAGTTGCTCATATGGGGTGTGGTTACCTCTTATGCGTTGGGCTCCCATGTCAGAGGGCTTTAGTTGCTTGCTGCATGATAATAAACGCGGATCTAGTTGTCATTCAAACTCTGAACTGGTTGGGTGAATGAAAGATAAAGGGAGCCATGAAAGGGGGAAAACATGCATCTTAATTTGTCAACTGATCAGCTTTCTCTCAGAAATGTCATGGTACCTGAATTAGCATTTAAAGAAAGTACTCTAGAGTTACAATCTGTTATATCTCATCACTCCAACCTTCTCAAACAACTTAGTTGATCCCCTGGGCCCTCTCAATGTGGCCCACAGCATTAAGTGATATTAAATAATTTTTATTTCCACTGGAGCTAATAGTGTTCACCCAGCCATCTCTCCTGGGAGAAAATGTGTTTAATACTGTATGTTTGTTACTCTCTATTACTTTTCAGGTAGTCTGGTTTGGGCTTACAGGTCAACTTTACTCAGTTCAAAGTGGCGGGAATTGCCCTCCTTTCTCCTCCCCTGATTTCTTGCAACATAAGCACAAAGTGGCTTTCAACTTGGTCGATTTTGTTCAGATTTGAGATAAATCCACCTGCATTTGCAGTCTTGATTTTGAGCAATGTGGTTTAAATTAGGTTAACCAAAGGTCTGACTCCATATACATTTACCTTTCATCAGGAGAAGGATAGTGGTCCTAGCATCATCCAGGAACCATCAACTCTGGTATCTTAGGCCAGTTTTGTAAGCTTGTTTTGGAGATGTTGGACTCTGCTTTTCAGCAAGGTGCCAGAAGGTGGTGATGGAAAAGTGTTGGATTCTGACCATTTGTCCTGTAGAGTTCCAGTTTTTTTCTGTGGAAAATCCAGTTATGGTTCCTGTGTGTTTTTTTAATGTCAGTAAGAAGGCACAGGACATAAATGTTTAGAAACTGAAAGTAGTGTTTGAACCATAGTTTTTCCAGAAGGAGAGCAAATGAAGTACAACATCCATTTGAAATCTTCAGCATTTCTATTTGATAAGATGTTTTCCTTTTGGGATTTTTTAAACATTGACACATCAGGAAATGCTTTGCTTCCTGACAGTGGATGATTTCCTCATCTGTGTTGTTTGCCATGGAAGGATAAACTTCTTTGTGTCAGTGAACAAGTTATTGCAGATGAGGAGCTAAAAGAAAATATGTTGTATTTGGCTTTGCTCCCTCCCTTATCCAGACTTGCATAAAAAGAGCAGCTTCTTTCTTACTTCACCCTTCTGTATGACAGTTGACCATATTTGCTGATTAGACTTCTGCAGATATGATCACTCAAGGATGTCATTGAAATATTCTCCCTAGGAATCCCTAGGTTCTCCAGTGGGATTTTATAGTCCCCTTCTGGTGGAAATTGGTTACACCTTGAATTTCCTAGAGATATTCTCAACTGAGGAAAAAAATGTAGACCGGAATCATTGGATTGCTGTGAGTCTTGCAGGCTGTATGGCTATGTTCCAGAAGCATTCTCTCCTGACATTTCACTTACATCTATGGCATGCATCCTCAGAGGTTGTGAGGTCTGTTGGAAACTAGAAAAATGGAGGTTATATATCCGTGGAATGTCCAGGGTGGAAGAAAGAACTCTTGCCTGTTTGAAGTAGGTGTGATTGTTTCAATGGGCCACCTTGATTAGCATTTAATGGCCTAGCAGTTTGAAGGTGGCGCTTCTTACTGCCTGAGGGAATCCTTTGTTCAGAGTTGATTAGCTGTCCCTGATTGTTTCATGCCTGGAATTCCCCTTTTTTGGGGTGGTGTTCTTTATTTGCTGTTATCATAAAATCATAACAGATACATAAACTCCATTTCCTTAATTTCCGACAGACTTCACAACCTCTGAGGATGCCTGCCAGAGGTGCAAGCGAAAAATACTTCTGGAACATGGCCATATAGCCCAAAAAACTCACAACAACCCGGAGGAAAATTTCTTTATTAAATGTCTTCCTCTGGGGTAGGTGTGATATTAGCTACCCACAAAAAAAGCCTGAAGGAACTGCTATAGATTTGGCATAACTAGCTGGAGCATTTATATACCACTATATCTACCCAACAAACCTTACCACTATTCAGTGTTTCCTTTTTCCTGCAATGTTTGCCACAGTGTCCCACCAGAAAAAAACCCTTATTTTTCATTTCTCTGTGCACAACATTCCTCAAATACCTTAAAACTCAGGGTTCTGGTTTGATCTGGGAGACGGAGGAGCATCCTGTCTTTATATTTACAAACAGTGCTAAGCAATTCTTGCCCTCATTCTCTCCCTGTTATTTAAATACTTGAATGTTATTTTTAGGTTTGTTCTGTTCTGGTTCACTGTTACAAGGAAAGATGGCTAGAAGTCCCCCAATCAGTTTTGAAAGTGATATGGGGCAACTGGAGAGGGTTCTTGTTGGTTTCCGCTTGGGCCCCAGTGGGAAGCATTGCAATATAATAGCCTGGACCTTTTCTTGTAGGATTCCTCTTACAACTTTGGTTTCCTTTTGAAAGTTGCTTAAAGATCTGTTGCTGTTTTCTGCAAGCTCTTCCTTCTTGACCTTCCATTATTTTTCATGGTTACTTAGCCTGGCATACTTCTCAAGTACTTAAGCAGAAATGCAATACTGTGACTGCTTAGATTCAACGCATGTTGTGTTTCTATATTTATAGTTCTGAGAAAGACTGGGCACATCTGGTGACTGCTATCGTCACTAAACAGTCCAAATGATCCAGTTTGGCCCAATGTGTCTCCACAGCTCATCTTGGTAGAGAATCTTTTCAATTTTCAGCATGATTCCTTGTTTTTAATACGGCAAATCATTTTCCCTGAAGACCCTCTAGGAAACATGGGAGGGCAATTCTGCCAGAATTTACCCCCTGCCCAGTCATTTCAGGGCAAGGAAGAGAGCGTTTTCAAAAACAGGATAGGGCTTTGAGAAGTCTAGAAGAGAAAATGGCTTCTAGAAATCGCTTCTTGTTGTAAAAAAAGCCTTTTCTGAGCCTACAATGTCCTGGAGTGATGCATCTAGTGATGGCATGGGCAAACCTTTTTGCCTTGGGGCCGCATTGAGGACCTGGCTGGAAGAGCTGGGCCAGGAGAGAGGGGATCCGTTCACACACTGGGCAGAACAGGCCCATGAGGGGCAGGGCAGGGCCATCCTTAAGTTGTCCTCCCAGCTGCTTGCCCCATCCTTATGCCAGGAGGACTGGTGGCCCTGATCCTCCCCCTTGATCTACCTCCCCCGATCCTCAGGTTGTCCTCTTTGCATTATGGAAGGAGGAGGGCAAGACAGGCGGTAGCTGAGAGGGCTCTTAGCCACCACGTGCCTTCCTTGAGCTGTCCTCCCAGCATAAGGATGGGGCCAATCTCACCGTCCTTATGCCAGGAGGAGGACGAGGCACGCGATGGCTAAGAGCGCTCCAGAGGGCTCTCAGCTGCTGCGTGTCTTCCTCCCCATCTTTTTGGCATAAGGACATGGTGGGCTGCTGTGCCCTTATGCCAAAAAGACAGGGAAAACTAGGAGGGCCTGAGGGAAGTGCCCAGGGGGCAGCATCCACCCCCCCCCCCCCAGGCCTTAGTTTGCCCATGCCCGATCTAGAGTCATTTGGATGCAATGTTTTAGTTTTTATTAATCAGAAGAACCTTGGTGGCCATAAAAACAGCATTTGTGTTGCTTTTGGGCTGGACTTTCCCACATAATGATCACTCCTGTGTTGACAACAGTAATGTGAAATACCGTCTTTCTGAGTCTTAGCTGTGTTCATTGAGTTTTACTATAAAGTGCACCCCTCCGCTGCATAGAATCCATAAAGAACTATGCTGTAAACAAAAATATGTATCAACTGTGTTATGCTACGAAGATGGGAAATGACTAGAGAAATACGGATTTGAGAGGTGTAATTTGGTTGTGGTTTCAGTTTCTGTTCCAACTAGAAGAGCTTTATTGAATGTGCATGTTCATTTGGATATTTCCTTTGCAATGCCAATCCACTTCAGTTTACTGGTTTAAGAACAATCGGATCTTAGGTGTTCTCTCCCCCTCACAAACTTAAATGGAGCTCTCAATTTGTTGATGCTGGTTTCCTGTTAGGAATAAAAGAATGCCTCTACTGTTAAGCTTTAGCTATGTAAAAGAGACATAAAAGAGATTTTGAGATTTTGTTTTCTCCTGTCCATCTGTTAGGTCTCTAAACTGTAAGTTTCCAATAGCTATTTGAATAAAATCCTAAATACAAATGATGGTATTACTCTTATTTGTCTGCCTTATGAGCACTGATTAGTTATGTGGGGAAAAAGTAGTCCGTTTCAAAGAATTTCTGTGTGTTGCTCTGTGTTTTCAAGTCACTTCTAATTTCAGAAAGACTACCGGAAATACTTAGATATGAGTCTAGGAATTTCAATCAGAAAATTGACCCCCCTCCCCCCAAATCTGGGTCATCTTACTCATAAGTCAATGAGAATATTGTGTCTTGATTTACATTTGAATAGAATTGCAAAAAATGAGTGTTTAATCCATTTTGAGGAAGTTGAAAAGAAGCACAACTCAATTCCTGACACTTTCCCCTCTGCAGAATGATCCTTGACTTGTCCACATCTAAAGTCCACAATTTTGGTCTAAAACCCTCCCCTAAACAGATACATGAGGTAGGCTGATACTCACATGTACATGGCATTATACAGTTTTCTTGACGAAATTTGTTCAGATGTTTGCATTGCTTTCCTTTCCTTTGCTGGGAGTGCGAAACAATGGCTGAGTGGGGCTTCTAACCCTGATCTCCAATATCCTGGACCACTGCTCAAGCCACCACACTAGTATACTTTATGTTGGCATAAATCTGGTGTCACCAAAATATTGGAATATCAAATGGATAATCCACTGTAAAACTGGTAAAGTAGACTCCACGGTATAACAAACTACAGCACAAACAAGACTAAAACAAACCAAAACTAATTGAAACATTAAAAGGCTCTGATCTGCTAAATCCAAACCATAATGAATAGAAGAAAAACAAAGAAAATATACACCATTCTACCATTATAGATCTAGGTATGAATTTCTGTAACTATTGACACAAATTGTCACATTGTTTGTTTTCCTATTCCTCAAAAACCCATTGTTTCCAGTCTTTCAAGAAGTCTTCAGTTTCTTT